TGCTCAGAGAGGTGGTAGATGCCCCATCCTTGGAAACATTCAAGGCCAGGCTGGATGGGGCTCTGAGCAACCTGATTGAGTTGTAGATGTCCCTGCCAATTGCAGGGGGGTTGGACTAGACGACCTTTAAAGGTCCCTTCCATCCCAAAGCGTTCTATGATTCTATGTGCCTCCTGCACGCCTCACTCACTGAGTATGTGCTGCTCTTCGGGACGGCCGTTGACACTGGGGGCCACTTGGGTAAGCAGGGGACAGGGCTGGCGGGTGGGGAGTTTCTCTGATCTCTTTCCCCCCCACTTGTTCAGGTTCAGCTGCCCTGGCCATGTCGTGCCTGGGGCAGGGAGCCCACTGCTCCACTTCTGGATGGGAAGCATGATGCTAGAAAACACCCTCCGCGTGGGGACCAGCCCCCGCGGTGTTCCACAGTGCCTGCAGGTCCTGGCACGTGCTGTGCCATGCCATGCCACATGGCCAGGACTCTCCGCATCCAGCTGGCAGGTGGTGGCGGGCATCACATCTCCCAGCGCTTCATCAGGGAGCAAATGCCAAACATGCTGGAAACGATGGAGCTTAAGGACACTGAGCAGCCCAGACTGTTGGGATGTGGCCGGTCACGCAGGCAGCCTGGATACCAGACCCAGCCGCGCTCCTTGGTGTGTTGAGGCCCCAGGGCTGGCATCCTTCCCCCCGGAGGGCTGCTCTGTGGCTCAGACCTGGGGTCCTGAGCTGTCCCTGGCAGGGATGCGCTGAGCCGGTGATGTCTGTCCTCCTGTAGGTCAGTACTGGGCAGATATCTCCAACACCATCATCTCGGGGACCTTCCGGCAGTGGAAGGAGGGGACCACCAGAAGTGAGATCTACTGTGGTGGGTTGACCCTGGCTGGATGCCAGGTGCCCACCAAGCTGCTCTATCACTCCCCCTCCTCAGCTGGACAGGGGAGAGAAAATACAGTGAAAGGCTCGTGGGTCGAGATAAGGATGGAGAGATCACTCACCAATTACTGTCACAGGCAAAACAGGCTCGACTTGGGGAAATTAATTTATTACCAATCAAATCAGAGCAGGGTAATGAGAAATAAAACCAAATCTTAAAACACCTTCCTCCCCCCACCCCTCCCTTCGTCCCAGGCTCAACTTCACTCCTGATTTTCTCTACCTCCCCCCGCCTCAGCGGCACAGGGGGACGGGGAATGGGGGTTGTGGTCAGTTCATCACACGCTGTCTCTGCCGCTCCTTCCTCCTCGGGGGAGGACTCCTCACACTCTTCCCCTGCTCCAGCGTGGGGTCCCTCCCACAGGAGACAGTTCTCCACGAACTTCTCCAATGTGGGTCCTTCCCATGGGCTTCAGTTCTTCACGAACTGCTCTATCCAGCGTGGGTCCTTTCCACAGGGTGCAGTCCTTCAGGAACAGACTGCTCCAGCGTGGGTCCCCCACGGGGGCACAAGT